CTGCGCAGTTTAATACGTATAGCAATAATGTACGAAGGTGCTGACTTGTATTGTCTTAGGAAGGCACTAAAATTTGGTAGTTTATTCGGCATTTACATCGAAATCGAAATACAAGATACCAGGACGATCGCTAATGTGCTTGATATCTTCGTCTTCGTAGCTTTCGGGCAAAAAAGATACACCGATAGCGTAGCACCCCTGAATAGTACTTAAGCAACTGCAGTGTGGGTGGTAAGGCACTGCGAATAAACTTTCTAATTTAGCGAACTAAAATTTCTAATTTAGCGGGCTAATTCGCGGGCCGAGTCAACCAGTGTTTGAATAATCACGGTGGAATAACATTATTCAATGTTATTTCATTAAAGAACAATGTTTTCAACGTTATTCAATGAAATAACATTTTACCGTACCTATCCGTCGTTAACGTTTTACTACTAACCACTCCGTAATAAACCTCTCTCTCATAACCTGATTGAATAATAAAGCATCTCCCCGAAATTACCGCCCGGGGTGCGTTAATAAATATCAAGCGCCCCAAAATAATAAGTACTCTATATACCACCAACTGCTTCATAACAATTACTGTGATTTAATGGGTAACAGTACATGAACTTAAAGGTAAAGTGATGTTCGTTGGCTAACCGTTTTAGGTGTATGTTCCAGCCTTCCAGGATGCTGCTTGCAAGGCTGAGCAATTACTGTACCGGTAATTTCTGCGCTCAGTTTTATAGAACAGGATGAGCAGTTGTTTGAATATAGCCGTCCCCTCCGAAATATGCTTTCTTTATTTCGTAAGAATAAAACCGGTACATCACATATGACTTAACATAGAAATATGTGACCCACTCCTGTTAACCGTTAGCAGAGCCAGAAGCAAGCTATCATGCTTTGTCAACTGCTATTCCGAAATATCATTCTGACACCATTAATTTTGACTTGCATTTCCCAACAGTCTCGATGATAATTTACTAAGCAATGCAAGCGGTTCATCTGCATACAGCCTGCGGAAGCTAGCGTTTATACCAAAAAGACTTGCAAAAAAAGATGTTAGCGCCCTACTGGGTCACCTTCACAGTTATCTGCATATTTCTGTCCTTCGTATTGAAAAAATGGCATACCATTCTGTTGTTTAAATGAACATTACCGTATAAACTACTCTTAGGCTTCGCTTCGGTCTTATAGTGCTAGCCTAAAGCGGTGCACTTTCCTAGTTAGTTGTAGTTTCTAACCGATAATGTGCATGCACAATACCAGATACTGTACAAACCGTTTTTATTGCCCACTTAAAGCGAAAGAATCCATAGCTGTCTCGCAGACCTTGAGGTCCTGTATTTATCGGCCAAGACGAAAGCGTAAACATTACGGTAGACGTCCGAAATCTTAAATATACGTTTTTTCAGGCCTCTGATTACGCAGATTTTCATGTGATTTGCTTAATTGTGATGGAGCGATAAATAATTTACGTACAAAGTATGACGTTATAACTCTTGGCAGTTATTTAGAAAGCAGAACAAATCCCGGCTCACCACCCAGAAGATATAAGATATTTTTCGGATTTTTTACTGAAAACGTGGGCGCTAACCGGCGTGGGGTTACTGATATTACCGAAATCCAAATTTATCGACAAAGCCAAAATAACTGCTTCAGTGTGTCGCAGATATCATATGTATGTGATATACTAAACTAGGAAAGTGCACCGCTTTAGGCTAGCACTATAAGACCGAAGCGAAGCCTAAGAGTAGTTTATACGGTAATGTTCATTTAAACAACAGAATGGTATGCCATTTTTTCAATACGAAGGACAGAAATATGCAGATAACTGTGAAGGTGACCCAGTAGGGCGCTAACATCTTTTTTTGCAAGTCTTTTTGGTATAAACGCTAGCTTCCGCAGGCTGTATGCAGATGAACCGCTTGCATTGCTTAGTAAATTATCATCGAGACTGTTGGGAAATGCAAGTCAAAATTAATGGTGTCAGAATGATATTTCGGAATAGCAGTTGACAAAGCATGATAGCTTGCTTCTGGCTCTGCTAACGGTTAACAGGAGTGGGTCACATATTTCTATGTTAAGTCATATGTGATGTACCGGTTTTATTCTTACGAAATAAAGAAAGCATATTTCGGAGGGGACGGCTATATTCAAACAACTGCTCATCCTGTTCTATAAAACTGAGCGCAGAAATTACCGGTACAGTAATTGCTCAGCCTTGCAAGCAGCATCCTGGAAGGCTGGAACATACACCTAAAACGGTTAGCCAACGAACATCACTTTACCTTTAAGTTCATGTACTGTTACCCATTAAATCACAGTAATTGTTATGAAGCAGTTGGTGGTATATAGAGTACTTATTATTTTGGGGCGCTTGATATTTATTAACGCACCCCGGGCGGTAATTTCGGGGAGATGCTTTATTATTCAATCAGGTTATGAGAGAGAGGTTTATTACGGAGTGGTTAGTAGTAAAACGTTAACGACGGATAGGTACGGTAAAATGTTATTTCATTGAATAACGTTGAAAACATTGTTCTTTAATGAAATAACATTGAATAATGTTATTCCACCGTGATTATTCAAACACTGGTTGACTCGGCCCGCGAATTAGCCCGCTAAATTAGAAATTTTAGTTCGCTAAATTAGAAAGTTTATTCGCAGTGCCTTACCACCCACACTGCAGTTGCTTAAGTACTATTCAGGGGTGCTACGCTATCGGTGTATCTTTTTTGCCCGAAAGCTACGAAGACGAAGATATCAAGCACATTAGCGATCGTCCTGGTATCTTGTATTTCGATTTCGATGTAAATGCCGAATAAACTACCAAATTTTAGTGCCTTCCTAAGACAATACAAGTCAGCACCTTCGTACATTATTGCTATACCTATTAAACTGCGCAGTTACTTGAAATTTTTAGATACTCAAGGCATTATTGGGTATCATTAAGTACTACGTAAGGAATAGGGCACAGGGCTAGTACACCATGAAGACACTTACCAGGGCAGCGTCACCGGCCCCCCTCTCAGAAAAATTTCATTTTTTGCAGGGTTGCAGAGTAACACTAGGGTATGCTTAAAAAATAGTTCCTTCTGCCATGGTCTGTAGAGCGTGGCGAAACAAAATTTAAAAGTTTAAAATTTGCTATGTTATAGCCTATGGCCAATGCATTGCTTCACACATTTACGATTTAATGTACTTTAAGCACATTTACGATTTAATACAAACCACTTCACGTGGTATCGTACGAGGCTTATGTGCGCTAAATATTCTCGGCTTCCCGTTTCTGAAACGGGCTAGTAGATGACAGTTAATTATTTTCAAGTTTAGAGATAATCTGTAGGTCCTCATTACCTCGGTTTTCGTGCTAGCGGTATGTGATAAAAACTGATAGCGCGAATGGAAATGGAAGTATTTACACAATTACACCTGCTAATCTAGCTCTTACAAAATATTGTTAAGTACCACGTACAGGCCGCTTCAGAAACAAAAACGGTTAACGGGGAATATTGGACACACATAGGCCTCGTACGATAGCGCATTCAAGTGGTTCGTATTAATTCGTAAATGGTTTAAAGTACGAAGCAATGCATTGGCCATAGGCTATAACATAGCAAGTTTGTAACTTCTAAATTCTGTTTGGCCACGCCCTGCTGACCATGGCAGATGAAATTATTTTTTTAAGCATACCCTAGTGTTACTCTGCAATCCTGCAAAAAATGAAGTTTTTCTGAGAGGGGGGCCTGTGACGCTAGCCTGGTTAGGGGAATAACGGGCACTGGGCAACATATTAGCTTAACACTATGCTTTGGTGCTCTTTCCCGCACACAAAGCGCTGTTAAATTAGTGCTTTAGCGCTATTGAATTTCTAAAGATTAGTGTTACGTAATACGTATATATGGGCATAGTTTGTGACCGACAGCTTAGAGTGTGACCGACAACTTAGGGTGTGACCGACGTGCGTGACCGACGGACAAAATTTTCTATTCTCTTGAACATAGAGGACCTTCGCTTCGCTTCGGTCGAATATTCTTCCGATAGGCATTAATTCCCTTATTAACGAGAAAACGGAGCATTCGATAAACTTCTCGGTTAATCATGCTTTTACGTAATGCTTTTGCAAAACGTGTTTTTCGAAGCAAGAAAGCAAGGTAACTAACTCCATTAGCCACTAGCCACGACGTGATGTTCAAAACGAAGGACGAAACAGTTTGTCTGCTATGTAATAGTCTCTAAGTAATGCATTCCTTCGTCCTCGGCATTTCCCGTGCTCGAATTTCATTCTCGTCATCCCGTAAATAGCTGTAATCATGCGACATCTTAATTTCCTATTGGCATTAAATTTCTTTGCATTCATCGTTAACCCCAGACATCAAGAATAAAACAAATCTACAGCTCTGTTTCCAGCTGTATGACAAAAGACACTGATTTATAGTTTATAGGGCTTCGTTATACGTTAGCAGAAAATTGCAAATATGAATACCACAGCGAATTTTACTGTGCATGCGTTTGTGGATGGCAAAATTTCCGGTATTCTCTGCTTCGCTTTTAACGTAATCATACAAGCCGCTTCATGCTTTCTGAGCATTTTGCTGATATCTGTCATCAGGACCGGGAAACTATCATCGTCCAGCAAACAACTTATCCACCTCCTCTGCATCGATCTCTTGGTCTGCGGTCCATTGCAGACCGTCCTAAATCTTTCCGGCATTCTGTCAAATTACCTAATGCACCCAACGGACTGTCGCGTCTTCTTGTTTTTCTACGTTTTGGCGTGGGGCGCCGAGAACTGGTCGGTGTGCTTTCTGGCTGTACATCGTGTGATGGCGGTGCTGACGCCGGTTTTCTATCGGGAAGACGTCAGTCATCGCCTCACTAGGATTTTTATCGCCTTCAGCTGGGTCATCCCGTGCAGCATCGATTTATGCTTGACACTAAACGCGGGCGGACAGTACGCTCGCGTCAATATGATGTGGACGGCATGCGCCACTGCGCCTTCGACACCGGACAAGTCAACATGGGGAATTACGGCGTTGTATATTCTTCGTGTACATATTCCTCTGGCTGTGACCTTTTTGTGCTACATTGCGATATTGACGGGAATGGCCTTAGCGCGTCACAGAAACGTTATCGGTTGGACTACACCGACGCCGGGCACTGTAGAGCCATTAAGTCCTACGGGACTGCCGTTGCCGGTGTCCGCTCGTTTGAAGCGGCTGCGCCTGGCGCAGATGCTGTTTGTATCGTCGATTTGGTATTTGGCTTGTTATACTCCCCACACGTGGATTTCATCGCAGTATCCTGTGCTGTTTGTTAAGCATCCCGTTGTGCAGTTCTGGATGCGGACCGTGTATTTTTGCGGGATTGCCGGAACGCCGGTAAACCTGTAATAAATGTATCGTATCTGCGTGTTACAGAGTCTCGAAAGAGCATTAGGTGCAATATGATTTCAGCTATCTGCGTAAATTATTATCATTGCCTTGTCCCTGTAAACTAAATTATGCAAGATGAGAATGTGTCTGATGGCTTTCAGATGGTTTTCTTGATAATGTCACGTGACTACCGGAAGCGAGTGAAAGTTCTCATCCGCTCAATTTGCGCTCAGTTTGTTTCCAAGTAAATGAGACGCTTTCCAACCTCAAGCGCTGCTATGGAAAAGAAACGTGCAGTGGCGCATGGAAGCTTTGGATTTGTTTAACGCTATCCAAAAGAATTTATCATTACATTTTGCATGTAAACGACTTTGTCAATGTGCTGTACCTGTATGTTATCTTCCAATGAAATCAAAAAATTTAATCACAGATGCCAGTCAAATTCGTGCAATGGTATAACAAGAATGCTACAAATATCTAATTCGAGTCTGGATATTGGTCCCGGCATATCATTGTGAGCGTCACGCGCTGCCGACTCTGAATTAATTATTCTGATGGTGGCACTAGTCACCGATTTGAGATTTCTCTCAGACCACTGTATCTGGTGCCTTTAGTAGTAACAACATAGTCTTAGCAACAACTAACAAGCAAACAATTGTAACGACAGACTTTAAACTGTCCCTTTCTCCACTATTTGGCCTCACCGGTAATTACGCAGCAAATACAGATTCCGGTGAATCTTGTAGCAGAGCTTTAAACCGTTCGCAATATAGTTTGAATGTCTTAATCTTAAACTTAAATCAGTAAAATACATCAACTTGTCCAGTTCCATCTGCATAACTCACCAACCGTACGTTGCGATTAAAAGTGGTTTTCATAAAATTTATGCAAATCAGTCCACTGCATCTAACAGTGCGACAACCAAAACTATTTCTGCGGTTCGTATTTTTTTAAATTCAGGTTTATAGCTTTCGTTGCCTAAGAGTAATCGCATAATACATACAACCGCAAAACGAAGAAAACAGGAAACAGGAAGCAAGGATTGTTTGATCAGTTTTTATCACTACGATTTTATTACGGAATTAAGACCTGGATTAAGAAAGTGACAATCTTGTGTTCACTTAATAAGCCCTTATCACATAATACGCATTTTGTCACATAAACCGAATCCTGCCGAACAACAAAACGTCACCACTGACGCCGTAAAAACATATTTCCGATTAGTGTTATCCGAAAAACTGCGATACGGGCAGCTGTTATACTGTGCGCCTGAAGAAGCTTCTGATAACTTAAGACGAAGTATAAATGCGCAGGTTACAAAATGAAACTTCCCCACTGCAGTCTCGTGTCCCAGTGAGGATGGTTTTCCTGGTTTTACATTCACTACCTTTTTTTCTAGGACTTTGTGTCCTGGCGCAGTGTGCGGTTGCTCCTCCGCTAGTTATAACTGAGCCTCAGTTGCAGTACCTTTTTCATGTCGAGAATGTGACGACCGATTACGGAGACAAGCCCCCCGCTCCATTCGCCGCTGAGAACGAAAACCTGTTCGACGGAGATATTTGGGGTATTAAATACGAGGTACGTAGGGTGTTTAAAAAAACCGCTAATATCTACATATATAGTTATTATTATATACCCAAGTCAGATTGGGAGTACTTGCAATGCAAATGCTTCAGATCATGTTGAACGTTTGATACTTGATGCTCTCTCTGATATTTTTATGACGTATTTGCTGCCTCGTATTGGGCCTCAACCCAAACTATGCGCCGATGTCGTATTAAACAGTTAAACAGTAGGCCGTTCACAGCACACTAAATTACAGAATGGTCAGCTAAGTCGAAGTGGGATTATTGGCGCGAATTACCGGTGGCCAGTGTTTATTCCATACAAAATTGACAGCTCCTTTTGTGAGTATGGTCAAACGCTGCGGTAATACAAATTCTGATGTTGTCTTCCTATGACTTCCTTTATTAGCGGATTCCGAAAAAGACATTATTTTGGCAGCAATGAATGAGTTCCTTAAGGTAGCGCATATGGTATTCCTGCCATGGAAATCAGGAGATGTTGATTATGTGGACATCCGTAAAGGTGGATCAGGAGTGGGGTAGTTATCAAAAGACATCATCTTTTTTTTTAAATGGCCGAATGCAGAAAGGTTACTGACTGTGGGTGCAACTCTTATGTTGGAAAACTTGGCAAGAACCAGACAATAAACCTCGAGGTCTCCTCGACTGGCTGTAAGTGGAACTGTGGAAGTAAAGTATTTCCTAAGCCTATAACGAACACGGACCTTTTGTTAAATAATAGACTGTTTTTTGCAGATTGTTTACGGTTTAAAACAGTGTTGCATGAACTGATGCACACAGTTGGTAAGAAAAATACGAATAAATTTTGCGACAACAAAATTATAAACTCTGGAAATCCCTGTTTAGGTTTTTATCACGAGCAGAGTCGCGAAGACCGGGATACTTACGTGGAAACAAACAGACCAAACATTCAACCAAGTACGAGCACAGACACTAAAAAGTTTTGCGGTACAAGAGCCGATGTGTGTTATTTGTTGTTCTTAACTTCTTACTTTGTGGTATCACTGCAGAATATTACTACGCTTTTGATAAGATAAGCACCACCACCTTTGGCTTGCCCTATGACATTTATTCGGTGATGCATTACGGGCGGTATTATTTCGCCATTAACCGTGAAGTCTGGACCATTCGGCCGAAGGGCACTAACTGGGTGCTGGAAAATTTTGGTAGCCATAATACGTAAGATCATGCGCGAAAATCGGCCAAGAATAGTCCGCTGCCTGGATTCGCAGAGCCCGGTTTTTTGTTGTTGTATTAGGTTATTTACTGAATTCACCCCTAATGAGGTGCGAAAACTGAAGGCCATGTATCCGTATTGTGGAAGGGGTTATTCCGGGACTTCTTTACACGGATCATGGTGGACTTTTGTCAACGGTCATTATTTGCCCAATCTTTCCGCAGATATAGGCTTAAGTATAAAATCGGCTCAAGTAGAATCTGGTTGCACGATGCGTGTTTGTACTGCAGCCAATTTTGGAGGTTCATGTGCGGTATTGACATCCGATCTTCAATTATTTTCTGCTCCTTGGTACAACAATATCGGCTCATTATCTTGCTTGTGTTAGTCGTTTAATTAAAAATCTGAAATAGAAATGTGGCATGGATGAATGCAGATTATTTTAACAAAGTAATGAGGAGTGAAGATTCTGCTGTTTTACCGATTGGAATACGTAGAATTCACCGAAGCTACGTAAATATAGTGTGTACGTACAGTCTATAGAGAAGAACGTTTTAAAATTATTTCTGCAAACCTTTTACTATTTTAAATGCAGGGTAAAGTAATGTGACCGGTTAGAGCAGCAGCACTAGTGAGGTGCGGCTAACATCTAAAACGAGCACAGCAAAACAGATGCCGTAACAAAAACTGACGATTCATGCGCGGAACAAAAATGCAAAAGTGGCGGCCTGGTGGGCTCGCTGCGCTAGAACATGCATCATCTCACGTACGAAGACATCATAGCCACAGCGTTCGTATCCTCCTTGCTTCCCGTTGGAGCGGTTCGTAGCTCAGCTCCATCGCTGGAACTACCAACTCGATTATCGCTGGTACCTTTGCAAAGTCGGCGCGCATAACTCCGTACATTACTGACGGTGAGACAGAAGAACAGTGGATCCAGGATGGACTGCACGTTGTACAGACTGGACGTGACTTGGTAAAGGGCCGGGCTTAATGGGATAGTGGGGAAATTGCCAAGAACAGTGTAATAGTACATACTAGGCAGCCAACACACCATGGTACTGCACGTGTACAGCGTCAGCAGGATGAACGGACGATGGAACGCTTCCTGTTTAGTATCGTATCGACGAGGTTCAGGTATATTACCGGAAATTGGTCTAGCCCGTCGCCACCGTCGTCGGGACAACATCTTCCATAGTAGAAATGGATACGCGATAATGATAGCCACCGTCGGGACATCGTAAATCCAGACATATGTGAATTCCGTCAGCGTATACTGGCTGGCGGGATTGAGTCGGCAGCCTTTCTCCACCGGTAGACGATAGTACAGGTGATCCCGTACCACTTGTGGCAGCATGAAGAGATGCACGTAAACGACCACCGCACCGCACAAAATACCGGCGGTTGTGTGATTATGCCGGGCGCGGTAGGACAGCGGTCCGAATAGTGCCCAGGCGCGATTCAGTGTGATCATCAGGTGATAATGGTAGATCAGAGGGGCCAGTACGTATAAGGAATACAGGCGAACCGTGCATAAGGAATTACCCAGCCAGGATGGTCCGTATACATCCGCCAAAGTGAGCATAGAACGGTCCACACACACAAACGCCACATTGCTGCACATTAAAGCAACAACATACATGTTAAACGGTGTTCGCAACGATTTCTTCAACAGAGTCAAGAGTAGTGCTAGGGTATTGAATGTCACGGCCAGTATCCCGGTGCTAATGAGACCGGCTGATACCGAACGACCAATCGATGAGTTATACGGTGGTGGGAGCGATAGCGTGGTGTTGACGTGGAGCATCCCGAGAACTGATGATAGATTTTGAGCAGCTGTCCCATTCGAATCCATTTGCGGTGGTGTTTTCGTGCAATATAGGACTAAGCAGTGTAACGACGCCAGTAGGTCAGCGGTTCAGTACTTTACTAACGGAAATTAAACTACTGTATTTTTGTGCACACTGTGCAACAGGACGTATCCATTGCACAGAAACAAATATTCGAGATGTCGAGAACAGGGTTCGAACAAATATAACAAACGTAATAATTCGCTTGTTTACGCTGTATTTGTTATAAAACGAAATGCATACATTTTTAGTCCTGGATACATTGTATTGGGTGGTCAATGAAGGTGTGCAACTGTGCATGGGAAAACCAATCAATACAATGGTATTCAATGGTGATGAATGATATAGGAAAAGCAAAACGGTGAATGCGGAGAGATCCCTTAGGGAAACTCATCTATACATCGCGGCGATGGCATCGCCGTAAGTGATAATATAAGCCACAATCTGGAAATAATATACACAAACACATAATTAACAAATCGATCCGCTCTATAATCTTCCTCTTCCGAATCAGGGTGGTCCTCCACCGCTCCTTAATCGTGACTGGTTTGATCTCTGTGCCACTAATTACGGTGATGTCAACCATGCGTCATGAGCGGTGTCGTTGTACCGTGCCGCTGAAGTCAGTCGTACAGATTTGAATCAATAGTCACTGCCACCGGTGACGACAATTTCATTGACGACTTCAGAGTAAAGCGCTTTCGTGCTTTGTTATGCTCCCCATGGTCACCGACTCACCGGGTGTATTTTTTCTGCCGCGGTGAGCCTTCAGTGTTGTGAACTGGTGACAAAGGGCGAGCGGTTGTATGCAGTGGTTGTCCTTTATTCTCATATGCCCACGGCAGCGCGCAAAAGTACGTACTCGTATATGCATGTCGATGATTAAATTCACATATTTGATGCGAATAAAAGATTGTTGGAGTTTTCAGGTCTGACGACGACTCCCCGTGATTCAAGCTAATCAAATACAGCGCTTTTGCTTGGCGGAGTTTCAAACGAGTATGTGAACCACCATCAGAAAATTGTCTGAATTTAATAACACGAGACAACTAATTCCACTACCATTCAGCAAAAAACTACCTCTCTGAGTTAAATAAGCAGCTTCCGGGACAGATGAGCGTTGCGTTCGGTTAACAGTTTCGATTTGCAAACTTTGCAGAAAAGACTACCCTTGAAGTGAAGTGTATTGGCACTGACCGTATGTTCGTAACCGGCCAAAACGAACAGCTAGATGCCGTACGTCTTTACAGCTAATGTCACATTAGCTGTAAAAACCTTTTGGTCAGTTGCATTATTCACATGGATCAGAACGAGCAGAAGTACCACTGGTGCAATAACGACTAATGTGACTAGTCGTTGGCAATTAAGTTGTCAGTGTCCAAGGTGTAATCGCAGGCGTTAGACGTCTACTGTAGTTCCGAGTAGCAAGTCACGTGCTGCAGAGCCTTTCGTACAAAAGTGCATATATCAGCCGCTACCAGTGCTGGCGCTAATAAGCCCGGCTGCATATAGGCACGCTTGTTACGGTGCCACGGCAGAGCCGTGGTACCGTACAAGTGTGCATATATCAGCCGCTACCAGTGCTGGCGCTAATAAGCCCGGCTGCATATAGGCACGCTTGTTACGGTGCCACGGCAGAGCGGTGGTACCGTTTCGCGGAGTGGTAGTATGGTAGCGGGTGATATTAGGAGAAATGCAGCACGTTACGTGCTGCACAGCCTCTATGGTAATTTCTCGTAGACTCGTGAGACGTGCAGTAGAGTTCAGCACGTCACGTGCTGACGGTGCTTGCACGTCTAACGAATAAGTTGCCCTTTGTTTTTTGGAAAAAGGCCCTGAAGATAACAACGTTTTCCGGCAGATTACTGCATTTAATTTTAATTAGAAACAATGGCTTAAAATTATATTGAATTATTTGAAACAATTTCCAAAAAAATGTTGCCAGTGGTTTTTCTGGGTGTTTCAAATTTGATGTTAATAAATCATGAAGCTAGTGCCTAAAAAATACTAAATAAATATGAAAAGTAAATCCTGTTAAAGAGAATTTAATTAAGAGTTATTAGTCAGCACACAATCGTTGATGTGTCGTCCAAGTGAATATAATATTTTCTGTATTTCGTCTTCAGAAAGTGACGGTGCTCATGGGAAATGTGATAGATTACGCCGAGAAGGTTGCCCAGATGCGCGCTGATGATCTCTCCCCGGTAAGTGCCAGTTACTGTATTTTATTCGTAATTAACCCAAGCAGCCATCAAATATCTGGGGACTGTTTTCTAATTAAGTACTTTATTTATTTGTTATCTTCTGTATTTATTTATTCATGTTAAAATGTATTTTTGGGGTTATTTGGAAATACTTCTGACGGTGATAATTTTTTAAAAAAATAACTGACGATTGCTTTTTGGTTATTTTCCATTTTTTCCATTTTTTGCTTTTATTTAAGGTCAGTTATAAATGGCATCGGTTATTTGATACAATTTTGGAGTTATACGTGTAGTATTTAATAAGAAACGGTAAGGTCTTCAGTTTGCTGAATTTGATACAGATTATTAAAATAAATACGTAAATAAATAAACCACGTACTTGATGAATTTAGCTGTTGAATCAAGAGCTAAACTGAATAATAAACTGAATTACTCGCACTTATTATTTAATTAAAGGCGATCCACTGGATCCTAAAACCCTTTACGGCCAGATGCACACCTGGGCCGGCGTCGCTGAGAATTGCTTGTTTAGTAACATCGAAATCCGAAATTAGTAACATCGTATTCCGCAATCGAATGTTGTGCTAATTTAAT